GAATAAGCTACCATTTATAAAGAAACACTTATCTAAACAAACTGGAACTCTGAGGAATTTTCAAATTGTGAAATAATAGGAACAATGAGTTAATACGGAAAGGGAGCTAGGACATGCTTCCCTCCTTGAATGTTTCATAAAGTTACATTGTGGTATGAAGTGATTGAAAGAGTGAAGATAATTTGGTGCAACATATTTGATTACTATTGAGAGAGGCCAGGCTATGAGAGTGCATTGCTTTAGGGATAGAGCTAACTAAAGAGGGATGTTCAAAAACAGGTTGCCACTTGCCAAAAACACTTCTTGTGTTTGTTTTTATTCTCCCAAAGAGTTACAGGTACCTATTTCTCCTGATGCTTTGTAAACATTTCTGTGTGTTTTCAACCACTCTTTTTTGTAGAGGTTGCCTCTTCATGGCTTTGAGACATCTCATCTTGGAATTCATCTTGAAAGAATCATTTCTGCCTTTTATTTCTGCCTCACTTAAAAGCCTAAGAGGACTTACTTAAGTTGTCCTCAAGGAGATACTTTGGGGTTGATCTTTACCTCGTATCAGCCTGCAGTCATTTGTCTTAGTATCACTCCCTGTCCTCAGCAATGCATTTCATTAGTTACAAGTATTTTTGTCTGTTTTGTACTATAGCAGGTATTTACTGCTGTATCTCCTACTCTAGACACTTGCTGATTAATTGCCAAGAAGAAGCTCCTTTTAGAACCAGGTCTTGGCATACCTGCTGCCTGAAGCAAGTGGGTGATAAAGCTGAAGGAAAAAAGGGAAACTGGATCTCAGAGGGGTTTGAACTCATGTGAAGGAACTTGTGCTGTGTCCCAGAGAATCATATGTCCAAATCCAGTCTTGGGGGACCATCTCCTTTTTCCTCATGCTGTCTTCATTTTAAGAAAATTCAAGGCAGTGAGATAGCTCCGCTGACTAAGTGCCTGCTTAGGCAAGTGCAGGGACAGCACCACATGCAGCACCAGCCCTATCCCCAGCACGCTGAACTGACCACAGACACCAGGCATGGTGGGCATGCTGAAAACAGGGGGATCACTGTGAGTTCATGCTGTGTAGTGAGACCATGTACCAGATACATAAAATTAAAGAAGAAAAAAAGAAAATTCAATCCACCTTCATTGAAAGTGTGTGTGGCACTTGGAAAGCACAGTAGCATTGTACATATTATTTGTGGGTTACATACCCAGTAAATTTCTAAAGACATTCCTAGAATACCTTTTTATATTTTGTAAAATAATCATTTTATGTACTTAAAGGATAAATGATGAGTAAGTAATTGAAAAAATTAAAACGTATCTATAAATCAGCAAGTATATTGAATTTGGAGATACAGGAAAAAATGTAGATTTCACATTTTCAAAATATTGACAGATATCTAGTATCTTCTTGGTGCTTTGCTGTTATATGTCTAAAATAAGCAAATTAAAAAATTACTTTCAGGCTGGCCAAATAGTTCAGTGGATTAAAGTGCCTGCAAGCAGGCACAGGGGCCAGGGGTTCAATCCCTGGCCTACCATGCTGGCCCTGCCCCCCAGGGTGAGCAGAAACAGCGATTGAGACTGGACGCATGCCTGTAATCCCAACACTTGGGAGGCTGTAAACAGGAGAATCACTATAAGTCCGATCTAGTAGTGGGACCTGAACACCCTGTAGACCCTTCCCTAAAATACAGAAGAAGAAAAAAAAAGCATTACTTTCATCTATATTTAATAAGAATGATATAAAAACAGGTATCTTTTTATTTTAAGCTGTGTTTTTGAAACATTTTTGGGTGAAAATCTGTTTATATTCTATTGAATTGAAGAATATAAAGTACCAACCAGGTAATATATAATATTGAACATGTTTATTTTTGTTTTGGGGGTTTGTTTGTTGGTTTCTTTTCATACTGAGGATTGCACCAAGGATCTTGAAACAAACTAGGCAAACACTACCACTGAGCTACCTGACCTCGTCCCTCAGCCTTCTAAGTAGCTGGGTCTAGAGGCATATAACACCATACCTGGCTAATTTGTATTACAGGTGCTTACGGGAACTACAGAAAACTTACAGAATTGTAAACTGCTTTAAATCTGGTTTTGGCTTGTTTTCTTTTGATTCTTTTTGTCTTTTGAAACAAGGTCTCGCTAAGTACGAAAGGACGGATTGAGCTCACTGTGAAGCCCAGGCTGGCCTCCAATTCTCTGATCTTCCTTTCTCAGCCTCCCAAGTTCTGGGATTATAGGCATGCCCCACTACACCCAGCCCTGCATTAATCCTGATCTATCCCTTCCCATCTTTCACATTGACTACACCTTTTATAATACTACATTATTTTCTGCATTTATTAAGCAGGCAGTTTTCTAATATGGCTCTCAGTGTCTGTGCTGTAATTATTGCATCCCACTAGTACATTTAGGCATATTTTTCTTCTGACTAAAATAAATCCTTGAATAGTTCTCTCAGGGAGAATCAATGAGTAATAAACTTTTCTGTTCAAAAATACTCTTATTCTTTAATTATAAATTAAACTTAGTTAGGCACGCAGTTTTATACTTTTATATTTTGATACCCTGCTGATAAGAAATGTAAAATACAGTGATATCTGTTGTGTCTTCAAAAATAGTGGCTTTAGAAAGCTGCGCCTTTTTTAGATTTATTGTATTACAATAACAAATGAATTAATCTAACTTTTAAAGTTAAGAAGTTGATGGCTATATGTCATGTATTTGGTACAAAACAAAGTAACCTAAGTTCACTACTTGAAGATATGTGGACTTGTCAAGTATTATATTTTGTAATTGCTATAAATATGTCATGTATTTATTTTATGATTTTTTAAGTCAGTAATTTGAATTCTATTTTAATTCAGAGTCCCAAAATAGTTCTAGACCAGTCCTGTCCAATGAAAGTTTCTGTGTTAATGGAAATGTTCTTTCTGTCTCTGCCCTGTTCAGAGTGAGATGACCATTAGTTTCTAGGCCAGTGGTGGCAAACCTGTTTTAAAGACAATAGATGTTAATGTATGAGGTTTTTTTATGAACTAGAACCTCTCTATTCAGGTTTAATTATATGTTGGCACTTTGCAATTAATAAGTGGGTTTGAGGTTGCAGTTTGGCACTTGATCCTTAAAAAGCTCACCATCACTGCACTAGACTTTGAATTCTGACGTTCTTTTTGTTTACTTCTTATCAAGTGAATAAAAGTGTTGAACAATTAACTTGATTAGTTTTAGACTATATAGTTTAACGGTAATTCATTTTTCCCTGCAGAGGTGTTTTTTGTTTTTGTTTTTGTTTTTAAATATAAAGATGTTTACCTTTTAGTTTGCCTATAAGGGTACGTTTAGAAGCAAAGTATGGGGGCTGGTGAGATGGCTCAGTGGTCTAAAGCACCTACTTACAACAAGCTTAGCAAAGCACAGGGACCGTGGTTCAATCCCCCAGCACCACATGCCAGCCAGCCCCGCCCCCTGGTGGGCTGAGCTGACCACACACACAAAATAATTAATTAATTAAGTTTTTAAAAAAGAAGCAAAGTATGTAGAGTTTGTATGTTTAGCTTCAGGTGCTAGTTTTTACATATAGTCATATGTATACACGTACTTAATATGTTTTTGAAGTATTGTTACCAGTTGGGTAGCTTTCTTTTGCTCATTTTGGATAGAAATGACAAATAGGCAAAAGTTCAGCTCTCTTCATGCTAGCAGCTCTCAGCCTTGAATGTCTGGGGCTCTGTGTTCCCAATGTCAGGGGCTCCTTGCACTGCTTTCTTAGCAGCCAGAGCCAGCAGCTGCCAGCAGTCTCAGGAACTCTTCCAAAACCAGGATCCCCCAGCTAGCAGCAGCTCTACATAGTTCCACATCATTCTTGGCAGCTACCTACCCATGGTTTTGCCAGCCCCAGCCACTAGCTTCCTAGTGTAACAACCTCAGCCTATTCTACTAGATACAGAAATCATTAATCTGCAAAATAAACTCACCTGAAAGAGGCTGCATTGTGACTTGTGTTGCAGCATAAGGAAAAGCAATTCATAAACTGACCTAATGAGGGTAAAGGGAAAACTACTTAAGTAAATTTTTTAAGTATTGGCTCAGACTGTCTGTCTGGACAGGAGTGGCTTTCAGGAAGGGATTCCTCCCTCACTGGAGTGGAGGTATCTGACTACAGAATGGTCAGTCATCTCAAAGAGATCTGCATCTGAACCTCAAGTGCAGGAAAAGTCTCTCCGGACAGTCATAGGACACCTGTAGTTTCTGAGGGTGTCAGCCCATTTAGGGTAGTCATGACTACCAAAGGTGGAAGAAAGAAAGAAAAAAATAAGAAGTACCTCTGGGTGGTTTGGGACCCTTATGTCTCAGTAGTATGTTAATGCTTGCATAATACTTTGAGGTTTCCTGTTTACCTATTAGCTGGTATTTATTAAGAATTATAGGGGGCCAGCCAGATAGCTCAGCGGATTAAAGTGCCTGCCTAGGCAGACTCAGGAACTGGAGTAAGATCCCCCGATTCCTGGCATACCATGCTGGCCCTGCCCCTGGGACACACTGAGACAGGTGAATGAGACTGGGCGTGGTGGTGCACACCTATAATCCCAGTGCTTGGAAGGCTGAAAACAGAAGTATCACTTCAAGTCTGATCTGTGTCACCCTGTAGACCCTGTACTAAATGCATTAAAAAAGAAGAAGAAGAAAAAAAAAAGAATTATAGAAATAATCTTTCAAGGGCTGGGGAGGTAACTCAGTAGAATAAGTGCTTGCCTGGCAAGAGCAAGGACCTGAGTTCAATCCCTGATTCCAAAAAAAAAAAAAAAAAAAAAAAAAAAACACCTTAAAAAAAGAAAGAAAGAATCCTTCAAGCTTCACTGTGCTTGACAAATAAATGTATTGGGCTGGGGAGATAGCTCAGTGGAATAAGCACTTGCCTGGCAAGCGCAAGGACCTAAATTCAATCCCTGGTACCACAAAAATAAATAAATGTATTGGTAATGTCTTCTGTTTTTCAGATTGCAAATAGAAGAATCTTCCAAACCTGTAAGGCTGTCACAACAACTGGATAAAGTTGTAACAACCAATTACAAACCTGTTGCTAATCATCAGTACAATGTAAGTCTTCTGCGTATCTCTTTATTCAATGTTTTACCTTTATTCCTTTTTTCTTTCTTTTTCTTTTTCTTGGTACCAGGAATCTTAACTCAAGACCTTGTGCTTGACAGGCAGATGCTATGCCACTGAGCTATTATCTCTGGCCCTTCTTTCTTCTTTCTGTAGATTCTTACATTTTGACACCAAAATTAGAACTCAGGACCTTGTGATTGCCAGATAGGCACTGTGCCACTGAGCTACATCTCTGGCTTGATTCTTACATTTTGAAGGGACCTCATCAGTCTTGTACTTTGTAAATGGTGCTTACAGTATCTGATGTAGATTTAATGAGATGTGATTTGGCAACCATAGAAAACATGCTTGCTCTATATTGCAGGCTATGCAGTAAGAAGCCATTCACTTGTTCAAACTATTCTTGATCTTTTTTACAAAGAAATGAAACATTTCAATCCTCTGTTTCTAATACTTTAAATTATAATATACTAAGTAATCACTTGTTACTACTTTTAACTTTTCTGTACCTTTAAGATGACCATAAGAATGTTTAATGTATTGACAAATTTTTATAGGTCATACATTAAACATGTACAGTTACTATTTAAAAAGTTTAAGGATCATAGAACGATTGTAATTCTTTTCATTGATAGGTAAGATCACTTTGTCTGGTTTCAGCTTCCATAGATATTTATTACTCCTGAACAAAGTGAAGACTGCCTATATACATTTTTAGACCTTTATATTGAAGTATATTTTATATCTAATATGCACATACATTGTCTCCACATTACGGTATTGCCTTAGTCACTTTCTTGTCATTGGACACAGTACCCACAACTTCAAGGAGAAAAAGTTTATTTTGGCTCCCAGGTACAGCCTATGGTCAGCTGAAACAGGATGGCAGAGAGGCACAGGGGGGAGAAACTGCTCACATCATGGCAGCCAGGAAGCAGAAAGAGAAGAACCAGGAAGGAAGGTGTACCCTTCCAGATCACATTCTTGGTGACCAGCCTTCAAATAGACCCCATCTCCAAACAGCAAATCAGCTATAGCACCTCCATAATCTAGTTACCTTCAAAAAGCCCTACCTCTGAGTGCATGATGTTTTGGGGGTTATTCTTGATCTAAACCATAGTATGTGCATTTGGAGTTCAATCCCCAGTATCAAAAAAATAAGTGTGTATTGTATATTATATGCCAGTTACTGTACAGAGTGCTTCATAAATAGTGATATATCATCATGAAATAATGCCCACTATTACTTCCATTTTGCACATCAGTCTCAGAGGTTAGATTGCCTAAAACATTAATTCACACAGTCAGTAACTAACTGGTCCAGATACTCAACCCAGGCAAGTCTGACTTAGAAGTCACACTCTTAACCAATATCTGTGTTTCCACAGGAGATTAATTTTTTTTTAATTTATGTGTGTGTGTGTGTGTGTGTGTGTGTGTGTGTGTGTGGCCAGCTCAGCCCACCAGGGGGCAGGGCTGGCTGGCATGTGGTGCTGGGGGATTGAACCGCGGTCCCTGTGCTTTGCTAAGCTTGTTCTAAGTAGGTGCTTTAGACCACTGAGCCATCTCACCAGCCCCTCCACAGGAGATTAGCAGTGCTAAAAAGCTAAGAGTATTAAGTTTTAAAATACCTGAATGTTAGAATAAATGTAATAATTTCCTAAATGTAAAATGAACCTTAAGTCAAATAACAACTAATAGTTGAAATCCTATGTCCTGCTTTCTTGCTTAAGAGTTATTTTGATACTGAATTCATCAAGGATTAAAATTGGTCCTCAGATTGCTCAGTGGACTAAGCATCTGCTTAGTCAAGCACAGGGACCAGGGTTTGATTCCGGGCACCACATGCAGCGCCGGCCCCACTCCCAGGTGCACTGATCTGGCCACCAAGACTGAGTGTGGTAGCACACACCTGTAATCCCAGTGCTAGGGAGGTTAAGACAGGAGGACCACTATGAGTCTGAGCTGCATAGTGAAACCCTGTACCAAATACATTATTTTAAAAAAAGAGCCTGATATTAAGTATCTAGACATATTAAGTGGCACAGAACAATATTGCCAATCTACTATGGTATGGCATTTGAAATTCCTGTGCTTATTTTGTATAAGAGATAGCAAGTACCACCAGAACTAACTGGGTACTGTGTGAAGTAGAATACATCTGCCACTTCTAAAAACATTCAAACTTAAAATATTTTTTAAAAACTTAGGTAAATAGAGAGAGTGTGTGTGTTAGTAGTCATGACAGTACTGTACAGTGGTTGCCTGTGATTTCTCTTCTCTCAGCCACAGGTACCTGCTTTGTACCTGAGGTACAGACCCCTGGGTGAACTAAACCAATAAAATCTATCTTCAAGGAGCTACTATTTCCTTTATGTTTATGCCTCTTTAGATCCCCAGGTGGGGCACAATGTATATTTCCTTTGAAGTAGTGAATATACATTTCTATACTATAGTCATTTTTCCTTAGTTCTACCGCAAAGGTCACTGGCTATTATGCTTTCTCTGTCATTTCTATGGCAAACGGCAAATCTCTCAATTAGATAAGTGCTGGCACTTTGGTAGCATCACAGCTCCAACCTCTCCCTGAGTCATATCCTTAGTGCCATTGACATTCTTCTACCATCTATAGAACATGGAGTCCAAATGTCATATATTTAGGATATTTTTACATTGCTCTTTTTACTACTAAAATACAGTAATATCTCAATTCGCAGTACTTCTGTTTACAAACAGTTTGTTCTCAAACAAGGGTTTGATAAAATGTTGCTTTCATTCACAGACTTCACATCAGGTAACAAACACAACTGTGGCCATCTTCCCCACACAGCCATGTTCCCCCGAATCGTAAAAGTTTGTGAACCTAGATACCATTGTATATTAAATAGATTGTAGGCTGATCATGTTAGGTTATAAAGCTGTAGCATCCATTTTAAAGACTTAACATTAAGTGACCTTTCAGTTCAAGGAATGTTAAGATTATCATAAATGAGTCACAGCAGTAATGAGTCTTGTAATCTTTGACCAAGATTTTATTTATATAAAACAAAGATTGACTACCATCTATCATGTTGCACTTGAATGTTTAGTGCTTGTTTTCTGTAGGAGTGTTTCAGAATGGGTGGGGATATCTACATGGCTTTAAAAACATTTAGTATTATAGTGTAATTTCAACTGGAAAATTATGTAAAGCTTTTGTTATTTATCAGAAAAGAACATTGATTTTTTTTTATATTGAGAGACATTAGTATAGTTCATTGAGAATGATTCGAAGTTATAATTAAGACTGTTGATAAAATTTTTAAAACTCACTATAATGTTGAAATGTTTTCAAAGTTTTGTAAGCTAGAGCTACATAAATGTGACATTCAGGATTTTATTTCAATAGTTGAGGTTCTTCAAATGAAATTTTCTGATAAAAATAAACATTTTTTAAAAAGAGAGTAAAGAAAAAAATAAAAAGTAAGAATTGCACATGTATAACCACAAGGGTCTGAGTTCAATTCCCAGTTCCACCAAAAAAAAAAAAAAAAAAGAATTGTATAGATACTTGTAAAACTATGTTCCTGTTTTTGAGGGGGGAGGCAGAGTTGGGGATTGAACCCAGTGCCTCACACATGCTAGCATTCTACCAGTGAGCCACACCCTCATCCTATATATACATGTAGTGAGAAAGAAGCCATCTTTTATTTACCTCCACAGATTTTGTTGTCCACATACAGCACAAAGACAAACTCACATATATAAAGAATAACCAAGTATTTAAACAATCTAAAAATCTTTGTACTTGAAGCTTTTCTAAGCACTGAATTCAAATATCCCTGTATGAGCAAATGACCTTAAAGATTTCCACAAAGAAACTGTAGACTATAGATAAAACCAGGGGTACAAACTAGGTTATACTACTCACCACACTGACCATTAAGAAGGCATTTTTGGCCAAAAAAGAATTATATGATTGGCATTATCTTTCAGAATATCCCTTCCTTGAGAGCCCCTCCTGAAAACTGTCCTCTTGCTAGGCTAATTAATGCCTGTTAGTTTTCTCCCTAAGTGGCATTTCCTCTGCCTTCATTAAGTTTCTAAAACTAGGGCCAAGGAGATAGCTCAGTATAATAAGTGCTTGCCTGACAAGTGCAAGGTCCTGAGTTCAATGCCCAGTACTAGGGGGGAAAAAAAAATCTGAAACTAGTACCAGTTCATGTAGGTCAGCATTTTCCAGGGAAATTTTTGTGAAATGCTAATTTTTAGAACTTCCTGAGGGGAGGGGGATACATAGTTGTGTTGAAAAGTATACTATGTTAAAGAACTTGTACATTCTGATAATATCAGTCCCTATCCAAAATTGGCCCTTGTATACAAGTTAATATATTAGAAATGCGGCTTAGTGTAGAACTTCTGTTTCACATGTGCAGAACCTAGGCTCAATCCCCAGCATCATTAAAAAAAAAAAAAAAAAAGGAAACATCAAAGTCCTCTTTCCTTATCCTCTTAAGTAGTGAAAATAAATTTTAAGAAATAGTGGAATCGGGGCTGGTGAGATGGCTCAGTGGTCTACAGCACCTACTTACAACAAGCTTAGCAAAGCACAGGGACTGTGGTTCAATCCCCCAGCACCACATGTCAGCCAGCCCCGCCCCCTGGTGGGCTGAGCTGGCCACACACACACACACACACACACACACACACACAAATAAATAAATAAAATTTAAAAAAAAAAGAAATAGTGGAATCCTCACAGGGTTTGTAAGAGGGCTTATTGGATAAAGGGGAAAACATTGAACTTACATTTATCCAATTTTTCACCTTATAAAGGAGCAAAATTTTAAAATAGCATGTGGTTTGACCCAGCACTTTTAGACAGTACCTATGTTAACTATGTTTTAGGAAAAGAGTAAAATTATTCAATACAATGGAGTTGATCATGGCCTTCTAATTTTCATTGAGTTTTAGGTTTGTTGCTAAATTCAGAGGTTTATATAGTACCT